CAGATTCGCTGTCAGATGAGCGAGTGTTCAGGATATCTTTGCTGTTACGTGAGAAAGTGAAATCCAATGGGCGCATGTTTTTCGCGCATTAGTGAGTGATACCCGTGAAGAAATGGCACTTCTGCATTAAGAAGGTGCTTGTTACTAACTGCAAATACGAAACCTGGGATCGAGCTAGACATAGTAAAGCCCGGCGTGTGTGAGTATCCCAGTAACATCACAAACGAAGAATACCCCATTGATAGTCCGTACAGTTTTAATGTCCTCGGTTTCAATAGATTTTTGTTAAGTGATCAAAATTATATGTCTTTGTAATTGCTCGTTTTGGTAATTGGTGAACGTATCACTTTACCGCAGGTTTCTGACTTTTCGCTCAGAAATGTTTATTCCTTTTTTAGATATGTGCACTGCAAGGCGGGTCGAACGCGCAGCGCAATGTTTGTAGCATGTTATCTGATGCAAAAGCATGACTGGTATCCAAACGTTGCCTATGAATTTGTCAAGCAAAAACGGCCTCAAGTTATTCTCGGGAATGCACAGTGGAGGACCGTCAACGAGTACAGAAGATTTCTGGATCACAAACATGGACTTGCTTAAATTGCACTTGCTCATTTCACAAATTCAATTCGTTAAAAATTGTTTTTGTATTTAATTGTTTTGTGCATTTCGCTGCATATACTTTTCACTGTTACGTGCTTCTTGAGTGACTTCAATTAATTTCTGTAACAGCTGCATGCTGCTGCATACTCGAGACGATGAATACTGGTAGAAGACATGACAAAACAGAAGGTTTTCTGTACAGCATCAAAGCTCTACATCAACTTTTTGGTTTCCCTCTTTTTAATAATTATATGCTTCTTTAAAAACTGTGAGGCGAGTGAGACTTGTGCACTGCTCGAAAATTTTTTGTAAATTCTTATTTTCCAATTTATGACAAGTTCAGCACCGCCCTTTCATTTAAATTATCCTGCGGTGAACGTTTTATAACACACTTCTGCCAAAAAATACCTTCTCCTTGATTGTCCGTTTTACTCACACAAAATTTTGTCTTGGACAAATGATCCAGTAATTGTTTCGCATTACAAGCAAAACGTTTATAAACAATAGTAGAATATAGCATAATCAGTTATAAACTCAAAAACAGTCCAGGAAAATGAGGTCTGCAAGGAATTTGATATCCCAGTTGTGTCATCACGTCAGCGAATGAGCCCCAAGTCATTAAAGGGCCTTTTCGCTAAATTTGCTCTGGAAATTCCAGATATTAAAAACCGAAAGTTCCTGGAACTCTAGTTTTTTTTTTGAGTCTATTAGTGATAAAAAAATATTTCATTTATTCTTTCTTGCTTGTACTCTGTTATAGGCTGCCTCATTTTTGTGATTTCCACTTTTCTGTGTAAGTCCGGATAAATTTGTGCTTTGTTTTTATGCGTTTCTGCATCTATGCAGTGCAAAACACACAGTATGGAGGAATATGTATATGTGTTATATGTGTGTGTTATGTATATGCATGTGTGTGTTGTGTGTGTGCGTGTGCATGTGTGCATTTTGTCTCGCCTTTTAAGCTCGGGAATCAGACAAGCTAGGAAGCTGAAATTTAAGGAGAATGTCCCTCCGCAAGTGCGACGCTGCAAGATTAAATTCAGTCCTCACACACTTCTAGGCCTCATGCATGGCCGCGTAAAAATTTCGGTGCGAGAATTACTAACTCAGGAGCTACATAGATTAGAAAGCTGAAGTTTAGTGAGGGGCGTAATACCTTTGCGCAGCCCAAAGATTTCAAATTTCACTCTTATTTGAGTTTAGTCTCGCGTGCGAGCAAATAGAATTTTAGCAAAAAAGCTGCTAACTTTGTGGCCAGAAAAACTGGAGAGCTAAGATTTAAGGAGCCATGCATCATACGTAAAACAGAAAATTTTAGATTT